GAAACAAAAGACGAATGTTGAGAATAAGTAAAATATAAAAAAATGGAAGAAATACAGAAATAGTTTATCGGTGTTCTGCTACAAACTCCCGTATACCGATGTTAAGGTAGCGGAAGTGGTTGTACAAACTTGTTTTGGATGCAGAGGTTAAGTTTGTAGACATGGATTGCAATGGCTTGAACAATGTGCAAAAGACGCAGTTGTAAACCATGTGGCAAATTTGGTGGAATATAATAGATAACCTTAAGAGCTTTATTCAGTCCAAGTTGATTATCTGTGTCCACGGAGTGAGCGAGAATAGAACTCTTAAACTCTCTTACCTGTCCTTTGTTAAACCACGACAGATGGTGTTCTGTTACACCATGACGTAACGTATCTACACAATGAGTATTGTTTCATTATTGTATTCATTATATATACATATATTAGTGTAGAGTCATGATGAAAAACTAATTGAAAAGAAATTTCTTCATTCGATTCGTTCACTCTTTCTAAACAATTATAATTAATAATTATACATTCCGTTTTGCACACACAAGAAATATTTAATAAATTAGTAAACTTATAAAAATGTCCATCACAGTTGATTGATTACTGGGTGGTGATCAATGTCATGCGTTTCAAGTCCTCCTTAGTGCAGATCGAATCCTATCGACCAAGTTGCAATGTGGCCACTAGTCTAGGTGACTCGAGACCCGTGTCCAGGGTTTCCTGTTGACTAACTCTAATCACCATCTAATTATCAAAATGTCCCGTTGTATGGTTTTCACACTAAATCTTATATTTATTTAGAATAACCCTAGTAAAAATTAATTGAACCACAAATATACTACTACGCTTAGTATTATCTAGTGTACGAGGGATATCATTAATTGTATTTTAAACATTTTTATTTTTCTATCAATGACTGATGAGTAAAACGTTCATTTCGTTAAGATGTTAGATGAATGAAGCTGATGGACAGGAAATCTTGGATTCATTTTTTGTGCTAGTTAGCATCCATCAGTAAGGCGTACCTATAAACTTCAAGGAATTGATATTTCATATGGAATTCAAATCATCGCCACCTAACTTCTAAATAATACCACTGATCTGTAAGAAACATGACTGACGTTCTATAGAATTGTGATGTTTACAATTGATCACGTTTATTCAGGTATCAATCAATTGTGGAACTCATACTTAAATATTATGTAATTATTAAAATATCTGTATAAAATGGTTCATTTTACTTGTACGTTTTAAAAGATAAAAAAACATTTATAAATAAGAACTTTCATCTAAATTTGAACGAAGAGTTTCACAATATTTGGGCGCTGAGTTAATGTGAGACATTAAAGAGGAAGAATATATATTTGTAAAATCTCAGCGATCTGGTCCAACCTTTTTCAAGGAAAATATAATCAAACAATAAAATTATCAAATATAAATAAGTACATATTTCTCTGGTTTACTGTATACTGAATAAGTCATCCAATCAACGTTAATAATGTTTAAAAAACATTTAGTTTGTGCTGTCTCTCTCTCACACACACAATCAGTCCGATGGAAACGTTTAATTGACGCTGTCTCTATTTATGCCACTCATTACGATGGAAACATTAAACTATCACATTAGTTTAATTATTCATCACTTATTTAACGGTTAATTTATTATTATTTTTTTTCTTTCAAAAATGCATCCTATTCAATCTGTAACCATATAGAATAAATAATGATTTTCATTTCATAGATAATATATATTTGAAAAAAATAATAAAAGATTAATATTTACAAAATTGATGAGAATTTCATCAGCTGTTTCATACTATTACGTTTGTATCCATGTGTGTATGTATGTATGTATGTGTGTGTGTGCATGTATGTATGTATGTATGTATGTATGTATATATACATATGTGTGTATGTATTAGGTAATCTTTATGCGTTTACAAATAAGTAAGTGAACGGATAGGTTGAATAGATAAAATTAATGAAGTTTTTATTCCACAGTTTCATTTATTTGTTTATTTATTTTATCTTCAGAAGTAAAAATTGGGAAAAAAAAGCAGAAAAAAAGTAGAAAAAAAAAGAAAATTCGTATTTTATGGCATGAAATGTGAATATAATTTTGTTATTTTTTTTGACAGGATTTAACCGTTTTTGTTAAGCAAAACGAAAAAATAATGTTATACCTATTAACAGAGAGAAGATATATATATATATATGAAAAGGAATCCTTTATTATACATTTTATTATTGTTGCTTCCCTATCATCTATTTATAAACTTGTATCCTTGTTTATTTTCAATTGATGAATACATTTATATAAGTTTGAAGAAGAGAACATCAGTGATAAATAATATAGTTTAGTTTTGATCATATATATCTATATATATGAAGATGGACATTAAGAAATTTGACTTTTCCATGGGAAAATTAGAATGATAAAACAAGAAAGAGTGAGTAAGTAAATAATAGGTGTATGGATATGATAATTGAATACAATGAAATCGAGAACAAAATGAAGTAAGTTGACGTGAAGGAATGAAATGTTGTAATTGTCAATTGTTTAATAACTTAATAATAATAATAATAATAATAATAATAATAATAATAATAATAATAATAATAAAGAAAACAAACAATAATTGAATAGTCATAGTTGAAGAGAAATATGAATATAAAAGTTGGAATAAGTTAAATGATAGAAGGTTAAAATTATCTAAAGAGAAATGAATGAAATAGAAATTAAGCTTAAGTCTCATCGATAAGAATTTTTCATTGATCAATAATTTCCCACTGACATAATATTTACCTAATGAACTATTATAGCTAACTAAAATAAAGAATGTGTCGCTCAATTTCGTGGATTAGTTGAATTTAGACATTAACACTGTTGGATGCCGACTCAGTGGTCTAGTGTTTAAGTGCTCGCGTGTGAAACCAGTAGGTCCTGGGTTCGAATCTCGCAGGGGGCGAGGTCGTGGATGCGCACTGCTGAGAAGTCCCACAATAGGACGAAACGGCCGTCCAGTGCTTCCAGGTTTTCCATGGTGTTCTAGCTTCAACTGACTCATGATCTTAACCCTCGAAATTACTGCAATCTCCACAAAACCCATCTGATATTAAAATAAAGAATTTGGTATTATTTTGTTCGTCTCTTCCCATTGTTGTTTACGATTGTGATTGATCAGTCTTTTGTTGGAATATGTGCACCCTATGAGAACTGCCTTGATATTACCGTTAAGTCACAAGTTTTATAAACAAAGATGGATAGTGGCTAGCAGTGGAATTCAGGACACAAGTTTCGTCCTATTTGCGACTTTTCAGCTGGATGTGCCTGCATCTCAGGGTTAATGTTCATTCGGGGACTCAAATCCAGTACCTTTAGCTTCAAACGTCATTGCGTTATTCACTTAGCTACAAAGAATATTTTTTTAATTTTCGAAAAAAAATTGTTGTATTTTGTCAATAAACAATTACTCAGACTGAATTTTATTTAAAACAGCAACGAATAAAACACCGACATAATAATTGTTATAATGAAATTGATTTCAATATATACTTGCTTACTTACGCCTGTTACTCCTCGTGAAAGAACATAGGCCGCTCACCAGTATTCTCCATCCAACTCTATCCTGAGCAATCCTTTCCAGTTCTTTCTAGTTGTTATTCATCCTTTTCACATCTGATTCTCTTTCCCGATGTAATGTGTTCTTTGGCCTTCCTCTTTTCCGCTTCCCTTCAGGATTCCAAGTTAGGGCTTGCCTCGTGATTTAGTTTGATGATTTGCATGAAGTATGTCCTATCTGTTTCTATAATCTTTTCCTAAATTCCTCCTCAGCTGGAAGCTGGTTTGTTTTCTCCCAGATAAGACTGTTGCTGATGGTATCCGGCCGATGGATGTCGAGTATCTTGCGTCGACAATCATTTATAAATACTTGTACCTTCTTGATTTCAATATATATAAATTACAGTGGAAATATTAATCATATACTTCATGTGTTACTAATATATATTAAAACGTAACTGAAGTTATGAAACATTCAACTAGACGAATATCATAATATTTCGATAATGAATGATTGATCAGCTGCTGTAATTCATCTTCATTAGTTATTCATGCGAAATATTAAGTTTAATAATATTGGATAAAATTATCGTAATCAAGTTATCTAGAAGTGTATAATTGTAGTAGCCTCAATTTGCTCATGATCTCAACTATTAAAATTGCTATAATATCCACAAAACCCCTTTTGATATTAATTGTAGTATACTCGAAAATTAGTGATTAATACTGGTACTAGAATATTCATAACCTAATCCTGTAAGTTCATGAGCAGAGTTTATTATAAACTAGATTTGTTGCAGGTTTCAAATGATATATTTATTATAAAAACAATATATTTAAAGAGTCTTTGTGTTATCTCCCATTACCTTCATATCAGTGTTGGATAACCTAAATCACTATAGAAATAGACTACCTTATTTTATTTTTACTGAGAATTTATGTGACAGTATATGCGTTAATGTATGAGATTAACACGTCGTTATCATTACTGTATAATGTGTGGTATCTTGTAGAACAACAGAACTGTATTATACGTGTTATTCCAAATAAGTTCTTTATAAAAGGAATATTTATCAGAAACTATTTTCAGTTAAATAATTACTAGAGATCAGTTAGCATGTGACAGTTATTTTTTTCCTTTGAAACTTCTCAGAAGTGTGAATTCGTAGAAGTTGGCTGGAGTCGAGCAGAAGACCTTCAAATCTCATTGTTTATATTGTATCACTTGTTCGTTACGGTGAAATCTAACAGTTTGTATTCTAACATTCAATCAATTTTGGCTAGATTCTTGACTGTCTGCTCAGATTTATATTGTGATAACTCTGGATAGTTTGCTTAAATTATTTGTAGCGTAGAAAAAAATAATCTGATCAATTATTAAACTTTCATTTTCTCATTTCTGTAATATTATATATATAATATCTGATTGTGCTTCTCTACATTGAAGTTCTAGACCTGGACGTCCATCAAAACGTTTATCTGGAGTTGAAACACCTGTTCTATCATCTGTACTTGGATCCCGTCAGTCACATACATGTCATAACAATGATTCAGGTGAATCCACTCCCAAACAATCACGTAGTTGTACAAGCGATGATGACAACAGTGGAAATAATCAGTCTCAAATCGAACAAACTTTATGGCCCAACTCTCAAAATAATATTTCCGCTTATCCATTAATGAATTCATATGAATTGATTTTACCTCAACTATTGAAAGCAAAAGTTTTTGAACACTTGGAAACAGTTTATTCATCTTTTATGAAATATGCACTTTCAAATCACCAAAATAAATTAGAACATGAACAAAATTCTTCTGGATCGACCGAGTTTAAATCCATCTATGACGGTGTAGAAAACATAGTCTTTCCATCTATTGATTTACCACGGATCTTTCCAAACAATATAACGACTCATTCTGATCGGCTTTCCACTGAAACTTTTTTGGAAGAAGAAGGAGTGACTTCATTTAACGAATCAAAAACGATAGAAAATTCGGATCAGACATTAAGTAAGTTCAATTGTTTCTTTATATTTTCGGAAATAAATGGTACTTACTTAAGCGAAATAAGATTCCTCTTTAACCAAGCATTATTGCCATGAATAATAATAATAATAATAGCCTAAGTTTTAGTCATAAATGACGTTAAGTTTTTCAATATATTAAATGTGAAGCATCAAATAAAATTCCTAATCATGTAATTTATATTCTCATTAGAGAGTATACTAGGGTGAGACAATAAGAATTGTGTATGAATAAATAAAATGCAACTCAAACTGGCTCATTAATATGATATTCGGAGTAAGTTGTAGTATGATTAAGTTGTTTAAGAAATAATTATTTCGATTATAGTAATCGAAATATCGTATAACATTATATTTTAATCAGGCTTCTTTGAGAAGACTGATTTCAATGAGGACATAAGAGTAACTGAATGTTTACCAGGTAGATCACATGTACTAGTGGTCTTAATAATTTTGTGACTGACTATTCTGATACACATTCCCTCAATATAAAATCAAATTTCATACGCTAAGTTGTTCTATACTCTAGGTTTGAGAATAGCTATTTTAATCTAACAAGAGCAGAATTAGTTAAAGACTACTTTGTGAATAGTACTGAAATGTTAAAACTAATACTTCATATGAAATTCCATTTAAGTTTTCTCTAAAAATAACAGGGATCCCTTGGAAAATTTACTTACAAATCTTGAAGTTTAAGACAATATCTCATTTGAATGTACATTTCAACACCTGACACAATAATATAGCTATAGTCTTTTGTTAATTATTTTCTGCATTAATGAGATACCTTGATGGATGACACTTTTGGTATTATTTACTTGAAACGATAAAATTTTATTTCATAGTTTCCTACATAATACTGATACAAAATATAAGAGTTAATGAAAATTAACTGGGTTATTTTTTATGGTTGAATTCATGAGTTAATTGAAGCTAGACCCACATGGAAAACCTGGAAGAACTAGATGGCCGATTCATCCTAGTGTGGGACTCCTCAGCAGTACGGGTCGGTTGTGAGATAGTAATTCACTGAAGATAACTGTGGATGTGTCGTTCAATTCCGTGGATTAGTTGAAGTTATACATTAACACTGTTTTATCCCGGCTCAGTGGTCTAGAGCTTAAGTGTTCGCGCGCGAGATCGATAGGCCCTGGGTTCGAGTCTCACTTGCGGAATCGTGGATGCGCACTGCCGAGGAGTCACATTTTAGAACGAACTGGCCGTCCAGTTCTCCCAGGTTTTCCATTATGGTTTAGCTTAAATCGACTAATGAATTCAATTATTAAAATATAATTATCTTCGGTACTAATTTCCGGTTATTTCTTAAAAACTGCAATAAAATTCTATATTGGCTTAAAAGAACAAGTAATTAAGATCAAAATTAGTCGTTTATATCCCTGACTATTTGAACTAACATTAAATCTAGGTTTTTTAAACCAACTGATAATTAATTAGATTATTTGAATATTGCCACAACCCACTATTCAACAGTAATGTTAATAATAAGGTTAAATAAAAATAGGTAGTCAGACTCTTATGACAATGAAATAGTTAACTGATATTTCGGTAGTAAGGGTTGAAATGATTCCCAATTCGCCACTAATGATTACTTAAGTGTTGCAAGTAAAAACTATGAAGAGACATAATTACTGGCCAAGTTATATCCCCGTCTGTATAAAATGTACGATTATTGTTCTTTCTGATTTACTCCAGATGAACATTTTGGGAGCTCTCCCTATATTCAAGGTGTTTATTAATTTTAAATTCATATGCAATTTATCTAGTCACTGCAAAACATTACAGTATAGTTGATTGATGTATATCTCGTTGCCTTCAGCTGAATAATTTGATAGAATAAGACATACACCGGCCAAGTTTTTCTATATCTCAAAGTTTTACTTCAGTCTAAATGATAATAAGTTAACGATGTGTGAAATTTCTTTATTCGTGTCAATAGAGTACCAACAGTTATTTGATTCAAAACTGCAGTACTTTTTAAATCAGTTCATTGGGATGAATTATCCCTGGAAATCTGTTTATCGCCCAATGGATTCATCAGGACCAACACTAAATACTTTTGATTCACAAATTAAACCTCAGGTAAATGATCATTTTGATCAGCATCCGCATCATCCCTACCCCTCATTGAACATGAATACATCGGAGTCTTTAAAATGTGATAAATCCAATCTACCAGTTCAAACGTTATTTTCACAAGATTTAATCAAGGAAACAGGTCGAAATGCTAGACCATCAACATCTACAAATGATTGTTACAACAATGATGAAGAATCCTTTGATGAATCTCTGTGTCCTAATGGTTTCACTTCATTAGGATATTTTAAAGACACGAAATTAAATAAACCAACAATTCTGAATTTCTCAGTAGAACAAATAAAAATGGTGAGTTTTCTGCGTAATATCCATTTCGTTTACAGAACTACTTAATTAGATTTTTTTCAATATCTATGGTATGGTAATACATAACTTAATACAGTGACTGATTTTCCCAATTTCCAATCCTTTTTCATCATTGTGTATAAGACATTAATATTTTTAATGAACAGTCAAACATTCATTTGATAATCGAATGTATTTAACACACAATTACAGGACCTGTTAATAAAATCTAACAATCATTAAGTAAATGCTTAATTTGCAAAATGTCCACCAATTGTCTCAAAATGACTCAGACTTCATGGTTCTTGCATTTTGATACAAATCGCATTCTGTTTCGATTCTTTATTGTTCGACTCTCTTGTCTCTCTGCTGCCAGACCTTCTGTTCACGACTAACATCATATACTACTTATGTCAATATAAGTAGCACACACCATAGACTGATCTAATTAAAAACAATATTAATACAAATACAAATGATCTATAATGTTGAAAGCTATATAGCTAATTGGTTATATGTTGATTAACCGTTTGAGCTATCTAAAAATTACTTAAAACAAGTTACTTATATCAATTTGTACTTCCAAAAGCTTTCCAAAGTAGAATTATTTGGTGAAAACTATTTCCAGGGAGCTAAAGGATATAACATTAGTCATTACTCAGTTATTAATTACTGAAAAATATCTCGACCTTTTGAAGATGGATTAGGTGCCGAACGATTGATGAATTGTTCGGTGCTAATTTTTATCCCATAAAGAACATCGATTCACTTAGGATTTAAGACGGGTTTTGGTGATGAGTGCTAATGAGCACCAAACTCAGATCTACAAAGGATTTTTTATTGACTGAAATGAACCACTAAATGTAAGAGAAATACTGTTCTATCGTGCTCCAGTTTGTCGTGTTCAATTGTGTGATTTTTTATGAAGGTTAGTCAGTATACGCCGAACAAGTTATGGTATAACTAATTGTTTAAATGACTCAATAACATTACAAAGTAGGGAGCTAAATGTTTTTCATAATTCAGTGATTGTTCCCTTTAGTTGATCAAGTTCTAAAGAGGATTGATTTTAACGTAAATCACTAAAAATATTTATCCTTTCTGAAAATAGGCCTTGCTAATGAATACAAATAAACTTACTTCTTGGACTTCTTGTTGGTTCTGTATAGTTATGGAAAATCTTGAAACGCTCTCAAATTAAAAAAATGGAATAATTCGGTTTATATTTTATTTTTTTTAGTAAAATGTTGGTAATATACTTTGATATCAGAAGGGGTTTTGTGGAGATTTTAAAAATTTCACAGACTGAAATCAATGAGTCCATGGTGGTCTAGCTTCAATTGACTCATGATTTCAATCTGTGAAATATACTTTGATCACAAATTTTTTCTCACCCATTTTTAAACCTTTCCAAATGATTTGTTGTAAAACAATTATACGCAATAAATAATCAGAAACATATTATGTGATCATAAAAGGACAATTTTCCTAGGCTTAAACAATATAGCTCAATTACAATGAGTTCTGAACATCTCTTTTACATTTTCTACGTGATTGTATCTCTTTTAGGATTCAGAAAGTTGTACAATGCATGAGTCTAACAATAATGAAACTAATACAAAGAAAAAATACACTGACACTTCGAAACGTCGTTTAACTGATTTCAAAAGGGAAGAAACAATACTAGAAAAAAACCATAATGACTGTGATGATGTTGATGATCCTGATCATGATGAAAATGATGACGTTGATGAAGAGGATGTTGTTGACGATAATAGTGACAATAATGAAGCAATTAAAATCAATCAGAATACAGACATGTCTAGAACGTTAACCGCATTAAATTATTACTATTGGTGGTTACAATATATGTCAAATGAACTTCCCCATGTAAAGCAATCAGTCGTTAGTGAAGCGAAAGTATCAATGTTTAATAACTTTTCTTCACATGGTTGTTATACCAAGTAAGTTGACCGTTGGATTATGTAATAACAACAAAATGGACATGTTTTGAACAGTAAACCTTCATTGTTTGATACTTCATTAGAATTGATGAAATACTATGATTATTAAGATATAAATAGTTTTTTTCCAAGAGGGAAAGTCAATAAGCTTCATTAGAATCTATCATTTGATATTTATTCAGAATACAGGTTGACTACTACGCATATACAGAACTAAAATTGTCAATAATTATTTGTACCATGTATGACTGCTTTGCTGTATCTTCAACAGTAAAGTTAAACTACATTAAGTTATTTCTTATTGTTTAAAATAAAGTATTATCGTTTTCTCATCTATCAGTAATCCATTGCTACTATTTTTCTTTTTAATCCTTTAGCGATGATTCATTAAAGTAGTAAGCAACGACTTCCAAAGTGAACAGACTGATTCTACTGTTTAGTCAGAAAAACAGTGGTAAATTTAAATGTAATCAATCATGGATTTAACAAGCCGATACAACTACACATTGCAAAGATGTTAATCAACTGCTTAAAATACATGTGTCGATGTAATACGGAAATATCTTTCAGTGATATATATATGTCCTATATACAATAATTTATTTAATCTTGAATATTTCCACTCTTACAGGAATAATAATCAAGTATAGTATGAAAGCTGATTTCTACTTGACATATATATTCTTTAATTAGACATAAAATTTCTTTAAATGTACAGTTTGTTTCATTATTCTATAAATACATGTAATATTTAATCAATATTAAGACTAACAGAATTTCAATGGGTAGATTTTATGTAAACAACATGAGTAACTTGACAATACAATCTTTGGATTCTATAACCGAATAAAAACTTATAACTTGATGTTGATGTTTTATGTTTGTAGAACTTTATAACTTGCATTTTTCATAAATAGAGTGTTCGAAGTTAATCTGAATATGATCTTCAGAATGACTGTATGCGATAAACTTAAGTTGATGTTAAAAATTGTAAGAATGAAAAATTAGCTTTTGAAAAGGTATTAAAACTACAAAGATATTTTAAACCTCATTTGTAGATAAGCAAAGATGGATAGTGGCTAACTGTGAAATTTTGGATGCGCATTTCGTCCTATTTGGGACTCGTCAGCTGGACGTACCTGTATTTCAGAGTTGTTGTTCACTCTGGTACTCAAACCCAGTACTGTTGGCTTTAAACGCCATCGGGTTATCCACTTAGCTACTGAGTCCTGATAGCCACTTGCTTTTGCAATGGGGTACAGGCACATCCAGCTGATGAGTCCAAAATAGGACGAAACACGAGTCCTGGATTTCACTGCTAGCCACTATCCCTTTTTTATATAATGCTTATGAATTAAGGCAATATCGAGGCAATATGCACAATATGAACATATACCAATAAGAGATTAATCAATTGCAGTATTAAACATCAATAGGAAGATTCAAGTAAGTAATATCAAATGAACTCGTGAATGCACACTGCTGAGGAGTCCCATACTAGGACGAAACGGCCGTCCAGTGCTTCCAGATTTTCAATGGTGGTCTAGCTTCAACTGACTCATGATTTCAATCTGTGATCATTTATAGATGTTTAAAATAATAACATAGATACTCTAACACTGCATGAAAATGAAGAAAACTTATTTTATTCATGAATGATATTTAGTGGATAGTTTTTAATCATTAAATGATATAGTCTTTTAGGAGATTAATGAAGATTATCTAAGATGGTATAAAGTCTTGTATGATATATGTGTTACAGTTTCATAAAGGACATTTAAATCAGAACCTTAATATGAATGTGTTATTATCACTTTATAACATGGATTGATTGAATTTTAACATTATTTCTGTTGCAACAAAATAATAATTTCGGATTTCTAATTGTAAATCCAGATGTAGACGTTATCGTTGAAGAAAAATTATGGTTCGCTCTTGATTCTTAAATATTCTATAGGAGTTTTTAAATTATAATGTATTGATTTGTCTGAATAATTCAATGAACTGATCAGAGATCCTACTGAAGTGAAGTATTTCATTAACTATTCTCATTTATAAAAATTTTTCACAAAATGAAGATTAATGATGAAAACTTAAAGCAATTAGTCCCTTTGATAAATTTCGATAGTGTAATAAGAGGACAAAAATTATCAGAACTATGTGGTGATATATTAGCGTAGTACATTTCGAACAATCTGATCACACATATATTTGTTAAGAACATTTATATATAAAAAAATATAAAAGGTCAACTAGACTGGAAATGGGGTAAGAGGAGACAAAGATACTAATAAGAGTAATAATAATAATGTGAACACAATTTAATACCTTATCACTCTGGCTAATAAGTCAATATTACCAGGGTAGGTTTAAGGTGAGAACAAACTGTTTTTGAATACACAAATGGGGTTTGAATTTTCGTATGGCTAAGACTTCAGTAAACTTTAGTATACGCTCTTTTACACTTTTATACAACATCACAAAAGCCGAGTTATGATCAGTCTTATGGCCTGTTTCGATTATATGGTCATTTGATTCTATTTGTTTCTGCAATGTAATTCTGAAACGTATTACGTTAATATATCACATAGTTCTGATAATCTTTGTCTTCTTATTACATTATCGAGATAATGAAAACATTCAAGTAAAAGAATGATTTTGAAAAGCATTAAATAAAATTAACAAATGGGTTCAGTTTCTTGAATTACTTTCACAAGTTAATAATGATGACATGAATATCTCATAATAAACTTGATGGTAGAGTTTTAAGCTGAAAGTTTTGATGAAATTCAAGTATTTTAAAATGATTCATTTGTTATAGTACTGAATCCATTCAGGAAGTTTGATATGGGCTTACGATATTTCAGTATACGAAATATGAATCAAATCTAAAGCGTACTCATAAGCGGTGGATTAATTTTGGTCGATCACTAGTAGCTGTTAATGGGATGGCAGGAAACTTAATAACTAGACAATAATATTATGATCCAGTAGCCAAAACACTTGTTTATCTATGAAACACTTGACATGAAAGAAACCTAATTATAAGTTTATGTCACTATTAGTAATGATTTTAGGTATCTGTTTACTAATATTCACGATGAAATTTCGATCAATCTTCGTTGGCATATTTACATCTAATGCAACTACCTTGATAATAATGAATTTTGTGTCACCAGTTATTTAGAATGGATGACTTGTGTGTACCAGTGGAATTCAGGATGTTTTCTTGTCTTAATCAGGACTCGTTAACTGAGTGTACATCCATCCAGATGAAGATGGTTACATTCAGATCTTTAGCTTCAAACTCCCAATACGTTATCCACTGAACTACTAAGTTCAAATAGCTACTAATTTATTCAAAAGTATGATATTTATATCATTATTAGTAAGGTTTTGAATTATTCCGTTATTGATATTAAGGACTGAATTTTTGATCACTCATAGTTTGAATATGTGTTGGAATATGAACGTCAAAACTGGGATACTGGTACGTCCAGCTGATGAGTCCTGAATTCAGTGAAACACGTGACCATGATTACACTGCTAGCTATATTTCATCTATTCAAAGAAGTTAAAAGTCATGTTTTGTAAATATATATATGCCAATGGCCATGAACATTCCTTTTAATGTTGTTTTAAAAACATGATTGTGCTTTATTTAAGTGAATTACTAACTTACATTTCATAATCGTTAGGACAACTCAAAACTCCTAAAGAAAATAAATCCTTCTGAATAAAATATCGTAAGTATTTTGCACTGAAAATATAGGTAACTTCAATGATGTATTTGAAATTATTTTCACTGTCAGTGGAATTCGGCGTTTAAGTGAACATAATCAGTATTTATTTAAATCTATCAAATTCAACAAGCATTATAAACAAAGATGAATAGTGACTAGGAGTAGAATCCAGGACACGCGTTTCTTACTATTTAATACTCGTCAGTTGGATGAACCTACATTCACTGCTAGCCACTATTCATCTTTGCTTATAATGCTTGTGGATTAAGGAAATATCGAGGCAATACGCACAGTATGAACATATACCAATAAGAGACTGAGCAACTGCAGTCCTAAATATTAGTGAGAAAATTCAAGTAAGCATTACCAAGTGAATTTGTCAAGTTTGACCTTCTTATTAATATCTATAATCAGTATTGTCAATATCTACAATCTCCTTTAAAATCTAATCTATAACTATCTTGTTTAAAATTCAGGACATAGGCAATCATATGAAATCTAAATACATAAATCAGTTAAGTAGAACTTCTTATTTCTTAATATTTATTGAATTACATAATGACATTTCGATTATAAATTAACATTGAGTAATTAGAAGAAAGAGGATTAATAATAATGATAATCAAAGTAATTATTCGAAAATCAAGCAGTTGCTACGTTGTATAATGTATGAAAAAGAGAAGGAACAGAATATTTTGATGAATGGTCAGTAGAATAGTAGTTATGTGAGAATCAAGAGATGAATGTTGAGAATAAGTGAAATACAAAGTTCAAAAAACAAAAATGGAAGAAATACGAAAATAGTTTGTTAAATTTCTGCCACAAACTCCCGTATACCAATGTCAAGGTAGCGAAAATTGTTGTACAAACTTCTTTTAGATGCAAAGGTTAGGTTTGTGAACATGAATTGCAATGGATTCAGCATATTTTGTACATTGTTGAAACCATTGCAATCTATGTTCACAGACCTAACCTTTGCATCCAAAAGAAGTCTGTACAATCACTCTCACTACCTTGGCCATTAGTATACGGGAGTTCGTAGCAGAAATTTAACAAACTATTTTCGTATTTCTTCCATTTTTTGTATTTTACTTATTCTCAACATTCGTCTTTTGATTCTTAAATAGCTAATATACTGCTGACCATTCATCAAAATATTTTGTTAGTTCCTTCTCTTTTTTTCATATATTATGCAACATGACAACTGCTTAATTTTCAAATAATTACTTTATTATCAGAAGGGGTTTCGTGGAAATTTTTAGAAATTTCACTGATTGAAATGATGAGTCAATTGAAGCTAGACCACCATGGAAAACCTGGAAGCACTGGACGGCCGTTTCGACTGATAGGTCCTGGGTTCGAATTTCGCGGGGTGCGGGATCGTGGATACGCACTGTTGATGAGTCCCATACTAGGACGAAACAGCCGTCCAGTGCTTCCAGGTTTTCCATGGTGGTCTAGCTTCAATTGACTCATGATTTCAATCAGTGAAATTACTTTATTATTAATCCTCTTTCTTCCAATTACTCAATGTTAATTTATAATCGAAATGTCATTATATAATTATTACATAACGTATCTACTAGATGAGTATTATTCATTGAATTAATTTTATATACTACAACTATTTTCCTTATTAAATATGAGTATAAT